AATAATTTTGCTATCATTAGCTCATATCTTCTTAAGAACTCTGGAAAAAAGTTAGATCTTTTTATCCCATTTTACAGAGGGAAAGACTGAGGATCAAAGAAGTTTGGTAATGTGAGTAAAATCACATTGTTAGGAAGTGGTATTACCAGGATTTAAAGGCAGGTATGTCTAATCAGAAAGCCCATGTTGACTACCTCCTGGTACTAGAGCCAGGGTAACGTAGATTCGCCTTAAGGGAAGCTACACAGCAGCCTTAGAGCACCTGCGGTGGTGACAATGTGAGTGTATGAGTTCTTAGTTGGGTTTTTCCTCTGGTTTTGGAATCAAAGTAATGCTTGCTTCCAGGAAGGAATTTGGGTGTATTGCTTCCCTTTCAATTTCATTAAAGAGTTTATTAATTAGTGGTGTTAGGTCTTCACTAAATTTCTTATAGAATTTAGCAGGGACTCCATGAGGGCCTGGGCTTTTCTTTGTTGATAGATTTTTAATTACATCTTTGATTTCATTTATTAATGTTGGTTTATTTAGGATTTTTATATCTTCTTAATTCAGCTTTGGTAATTGTTATGTATCTAGGAATCTGACCATTTCTTCTATATTTTTCATCTTATTAGAATAGAGCTTTTCAAAGTAGGCATAGATGATTTTCTGGATTTCTGCAGGGTCTATTGTCATTTTGCCCTTTTCATTTCTAATTGCATGAATTTGAGTCTTTTCTTTCCTTTTTTGGATAAGATTGGCTAACAGTTTGTCAATTTTATTTAATCTTTCAAAGAACCAACTCTTCGATTAATTGATTCTTTGTATTTTTTTTTAGTCCCCAAAGTATTAATTTCTGCTCTGATCTTTATAATTTCCTCCCTTATATATGCTTCTGGTTTAGCCTGCTCTTCTCTTCTAGAAGTTTAAGGTTCAGCATTAAGCTTTTTATATGCACTTGCTCTGTTTTCCTGATATGAGTATTTACTGCTGTAAATTTCCCACTTAAGATTGTTTTCATTGTGTCTCACAAGTTCTGGTGTGTGTTGTATTGTCATTATCACTGAACTGTAAAAACTCTAATTTCTTCTTTAATTTTATCTGTGACCCATTGGTTACTCAGTAGGGTGCTACTTAATTTCCATGTGTTTATGTTTTAATTTCCATGTGTTTATGAAGTTCTTGCGGCTTCCTTTGGTATGGATTTCCAATTTCATTGCACTGTGATCTGATTGTATGGGATAATTTCAATTTCTTTGCATTTACTTAAGCACGTTCTGTGAGCCAGTGTATGGTCTATTTTGTAGAATGTCCCATGTGCAGCTGAGAAGAATGTGAATTCTCACATTGTGGGTTGCAACACTCTGTACACATCTACCAAGTCCATTTGTTCAAAAGTTTGACTTAGTTCTAATATTTCATTATTGATATTTTTTGTCTTGTTGATCTATCTTTTTGTGACAGTGGGATACTGAGGTCTCCCAATACACTTGTATTAGGGCTTATTTGATTTTTCATGTCCATTAGTAATTGTTTTATATAGCTGAGTGTACTGATATTTGTTGCATGTATATTTATGATTGTTATCTGTTTTTCTTGTATCATTCCCTTTACAAGGATATAGTGAGCTTCTTTATCTCTCTTAATCAGTCTTGGTTTGAAATTCACTTTGTCTGAAAATAGAATGTATCTATTTGGAGTGCTGGTTAGGTGGCCATAAACTTCACTAGATATTGCCTGTCATAAAGGTATCTTATTTCTCAATCAATTTTGAAAGATAGGTTGAAAGTTTTTTTCCTTTAGAATTTAAAGCACTTCACTCTGAGTTGTCCTTGACTTGAGAATTTGTGCTGAGAAGTCAGCTGTGATTCTGATGGGCTTTCTTTTATAGGTGATTTGTTTCTTTTACATAACAGATTTTAAGATTCTATTCTTTTATGTAACAGATTATAAGATTCTATTCTATTGTGTTGAATTTCTGAAATCTTGACTATGATATGCCTGGCTATAGGTTTTTTAATCCCTGCTAATTAGAGTTTAATATGCCTCATGTATCTGTATGTGAAATTATTTTTTTTACCCGGAAAGTTTTCTGTCATAATGTCTGTGAATGTGTTTTTAATATCATTTGTGATATCTCCTGCTTGTTCATTGACTCCAGTTAATCTTAAAATATTCTTTGTCTCATCTAGCAGCTGCTGGATTGATTTCTCATGGTTCCTCTTTCTTTTCTTGGTCCCTAACTGTAAGCCTGTCTTCCGTATCTGAGATCCTGTCCTCATATTGGCCAAATCTGCTTCAGATAGTTTCAGTGGAGTTTTTATTCTGCTTTATGGATTCCATTTGTTTCCTATGCTACACTTCCATAATTTGCTTAAGCTCGTCTATTGTTTTGTCTGTGTCTGCTATAACATTGCTAAGCATAATGTGTATTTTGGTAATCTCTGTAGTTAAGATATTATTTTTGATTTCATTTTTTCCAGAGCCTCATTCAATTGCTTTGTTGTTACCACTTCAGAGAGACCCAGTGGGGGCTTTTGGATTGTCCCACTTCATTGTCCCCTGGGTTTGCCTTTGGTGAACTGGTTGTCTGGGGTTGCATCTTGTTTAAGTGTCTTCTCATTTGTTTTCTTTTGTAAGTTTAATTCCTAGTGTGATGCTTATAAGTTACCTTATATAAGTTGCTTTATTGGTGATATTTAGGACACATAGGTTATGATTACTTCTCTGAGATATCTTCCAGAAGTAGCTGGGTTTTGGATCTTGAGTCTGTTGGAAGATCTTACCTCTTCGGTTTGTTGGAGATGAGAAATGGTTGCTTGTTTGGCCTAGTCCCTGGTTCTTTGTCACAGTGCCATTGTATTTTCTTGACCAGTAGTTAATGTCAATTCATGGATTATCAGGGCCAACAACTGTTTAGATCAATCATGTCAATTTTGGCTATAGTGGTACCTATAGCATGAAACACAGCCTATAAAACAACAAACTGAGCTAAACCTTAATTTGCAACTTATAACCATATGAACTAGATTTATGATTATATAACAAAATGTAAAACAAACCAGATAATTATTTGCAGTGTATAAGTCTATAATTTGTCAATTTTGCCCTTGAGATTAAAAATTAAAATTTAAAATGGATTAAGGAGAAAATAGAGAAATGGGAGAAAAGAAAAAGATTAGAAGTAAGGTTGGAGGACAAAAGTGGATCATACCAATTTGAAGAAACTGGTGCCGAAGACTGAAGGAAAAGAGAGGTGGGAGAGATAAAGGGAGAACAGAACAGAGCCACACCCGCAAAGAGGTTAGAACCACTTCACATCCATGTTAAAGCAATGTAGGGGAAAGAGAAAAACAAACAAGCAAAAAACTAAAGAAAAACAAAGCAAAAAGAGAAACAAATAGTCCACCTCTAGGATTCTCTCTGGTTTCACTGGCTGACAACCTGTGCAGACAGAGTCCTGAATCTTGCCCTTCTGTCCCAGCAAGCCAGCAGTTGCTTTATAGTGAGCGGCAGTAGGTGATCTCAGCTGGCCGGTCCCATCCACAGGTGCACTGGGTTCCCACGGTCCAAGCAGTGTCCACGGGTCTGCCCCAGCTAGGAGGTGCTAGAGGAAGCCCCAAGCAGTTCTGGTTCCAGCTTACCGGGCCCAACTCCAGAATGGCTCTGGGATAATCATTCTCTTCTGTGGGAGGACTGAGTCCTCTCTCATTGCCAGCTGGTGCAGTCCCCACATCCGCCATTCCACTCCGTTGCCACAGAGGCCTCTGGGGCCGTCAGCCATCACCACCACTGTGCATTCACAGATTCAAACAGCTGCTTTCATGCAGTGAGTCCAGCTCAGGAAGAAGGCGCATTCAGCTACTGCCTTCTTCATTGAAGCTATGTTTACTCTCTCTGTGGGCTTCAGTTCACACTTCAGATTCTTTCTGGACCCACTTCCCTCCTTCTTATCTTCTTCATGATGCTATATTCCAACATCTGGGCGGCGACTCCCAGAGATACTGTTTTCTCTGCTGCTTACTGCTCCATCGTCTTCCCAGAAGTCTCTAGATTGAAATTATAATTCTTAATTCAAAAAAACATTTTCCTCATGAAAAATGTTTTTATGCGCAAGTAGGTTATCTATGCCACAAAAAACCAATAATGTGTCGCGCTTTTCCCCACACTGTGGATGGCTGTGTGCGTGTGTGTTTGTATATGAATTGTTCATTTGGAATGTTGAAATGAGTGAATTACTTAAACTGCATAAAAGAAAAAATGTTTATGGATTTAACTTTCTTTGTATATGGGTCATTTTCTGATGGAATTTTTATTTTGATATTCCATGGATTCAGATGAATAGCAACTGAATTTACCTACTATTTAAATGATGGTCAATGCAAATGTGCAGGATTATAGTACTGAATAATAGTCCTTGTTTACAACACACCTTTGGCCTTGCAGCATTCAGTAAACAAACATACTCAGAAAAAATAAAGTCACTCTCTAAATGCCCAAGAACCGTGATACCTAGATGCGTATCATGAAGTCTAGTTGTGTTACTATGCCATAGTTTGATTTTTAAACTAAGGTTACTTGAAAGAGGAGTAATTTAAATTATGTGATCCTAGTTCTATGCTTCATGATTATGGTACCTTAGATTTAGCATTGGATCATACATGCGATTTTTGTTGATGAATCCTACTTAATTGTAATGTAGTCCATCTGGGTCTCTCCCCTGCTGCCTTTGGAAGGATGTACTAATAGGATAAAGCTAGAAAAGATTAACCCTAACCCTTGGGGAATATTCGGTCTGGCCTGGAGGCACTGCTTTCTAGGACAGTAGTGTCATTTTTACCCTCACTCTTGGTATTGTGTGTTGGATTTGTAGGCGATCACTCTGCCCAGATGCCTATGCCCATTGCTCAAGGCGTGAAGTGAGAAGCGGTGTTGTGTCAGGGATTCATTCATCATTCTAAGAACGTAGGAAGAGACCACCAGGGAGACTGAACACTTGGATTTCTTTTGTGTCTTTGTAGAGCCCGATCTAGAAGGCCTTGATCTAGGTGCAGTTTACAGCAGTGTTGACCAGCAGCTGAATGAAACCATGAGGCACCGAAGACATGCAGGAGAGGATGATTACAACATCGAGGTGCTGCTGGGAGTGGATGACTCTGTGGTCCGTTTCCACGGCAAGGAGCACGTGCAGAACTACCTCCTCACCCTGATGAACATCGTGAGTCGTGACTGCTTTCTGACACTTTTTGATTTTTAAATTCTTCTCTTATGTGGTTAGTGTCCTTTAGGAACCTATTAGAAAGTCTGTGACTGTACCTGAGAGCCCCAGTGTGTATGTGACTACACTGAATCCAGGTTTGGACCTAGTTTAAAATGCAGGGGTGCAAAATCAAAGGAAGCATGAAATATAACTTGCTTTTGGTTGATCAGTGAGTTTTCCATTGTCATCAAAGGAAAACTTTATATTTGAATGACCATCATGGGATGGAATTAGAAGATGAATCATGATTTTCATTTTATTCTGGAAATAATCAGAACGGTCAAAATTTTGTCCACCTGCTTTGGTGTGGATTGTAAAGAATGTTTTTTGTAGAACTGCTTGGTACCCTAGGGTGTTGAAGAGTGATTTATCCTGGAGAGCTTTTGAGCATGTGTGATGTTTTCAGCATTGTAAGATAGACAGTAACATATTTGCAAAGTAAATAGCTGTTGACACAGGTGCTGCACGGCAGTTGCTAAAGAGCCCTTAAAATTTGGCCTTTCTCTTTTCTGAGACTTACGCATATTTAGAAGAAACTGTTGTATCCTTAAACTTGTGAGGTTTTTGTTTTTATTTTGAGTTTTTTTTTTTTTTTAATTTTGAACTGGCAGAGAGCAACTCATAGGAATGATAGGCCACCTACTTCTAAAAGATAAATGAGTTAGAGGTGAACTCTTACATATTTTAGCTCATGATATTTAAAAAGAATATTATATTGATCTTGTAAATTTACTATGTAATCCCTTTCTCTCAATTTTTTCTATCAACTTTTGTTTTTAATTTAATTAATTTGGGCATTTATGGCATTTACCATGTCTAAGAACAGCTTTTCATGTAATTATACAGGAAAATAAAAACTCAGTTTCATGAATCATGGTTTTATTTATTCTAACATTGAAGCCTATCTGTTATGTATATTTTAGTTCACTGAAAGGTCAGTTTAGAAAATTGTACATGGACTGTATCATCGTGGAATGTGATACAGTCAAATTCAAACACATTTCTATTTGTTCATTAGCATTAATTCTTGTTATGAAGACAATGTACATTAAACAGAGTAGGAGGCCTGGCAGCAAGGATGCATAGCAGTCATTCTGCACTCTGCAAGTTCTTTGGGATCTTTCTCACACCTTTCCATGTGACTGGATAGCTGTGTGAAATTGGGCTTGCCCTTGGGTGTTTGCAGTCTGCTCTAGCTCCTCACCTGTACATTAGGAGAGGATGCTATGGATGCCGAGCCCAGTTCCCAAGTGAGCAGACCCATGTGCTGTATAAAATGCTGCCTGTACATGAATATACATGTAATGCCATTTAAATGTTCTAGGTCAACTTTTATTTTCTAAATTATCTAGATCATTAAAATTCTCACTTGCATCATTATTGTGCCCTTGGCACAGCTGTCTCCTGTCATCAGGCACAGTCTTCTAGGTTTCACTGTCCTTCAGGTGGTGCTCAGAATTGTGGGAGGCTGTGGGGGAAATGTAAGTGATCCTAGGTCCTCGTCCTCACAGAACTCAGAGGTAGTTGTAGAGAAAAATAATGGGATGATTCTAAGAAATTAAACAATTAAAAGCATATTATTTTTAGGCATATTTATACTATAATATAGATGTCATGACATTTTAGAGAATAAGCTGTGACCACAGATGTTCATTGTGAAGTGATGGAGCATTAAGGCGGGACTTGGCAAATGGTCTGTCCTTCATTATGTGACTCGTGTGAACTCAGAAAAACCATATTCTTTCCTGGGATTTAATTTTCATCTTTTTTTAAAAATTGAGAGATTCAACAAAATGTTTACTAATTCTGTAATACACCCAGCAGCTGGGAGTCAAGCCAGACTGCAGGAATTTGTTTTGCTATTGTTGCTTTTTCTTCTTGTTTGTTTGTTTGTTTGTAGATTAAGGTTCTGATGCCAAGCACCACTTGAGCATACTCCAGTGAGGGCGGTGGTGTAAGTGTACTCCTGCTGTCTGATTCCAGAACCCTCTCTTAATTGCTGTCCTAAAGGGCTTCCTGGTGGAAAGGAGGTCAACAGAGGGGAAATGAGGCCATTTAACAGTAGGCTGAGGTCAAACTTAGTGGACCTTAAATGCTGTACTAAGGAATATATACTAGATTTTCTAGATGTGAGAATACAAGGTCCGATCTTAGAATCAGAATTTTGGTGGGCTACCAACCAAATTCCGGGAAAAGCAAAGCCTCTTTCGATTGGGAAGAGGTTGGTTGAGGGATGAGCTAGAGCTGAATTACAAGAATAAAAAGGAGACGGAAGGATGAAGTGGAAAAGTGTTAACTAAATATATTTCTTATTTTACTGGAACTATGTTGATTTAAGAATCTCATGATTCTAAATGAATTGATCTTGTGAAGTAAACTGTAAAAGAAAGCAAGCAAGAATCATTATTAGTTGAATTGCATTCTCTGAATGCACTTCAAATTTGGGATCATCACCAAGTAATTTACAATTCAGTGAAGGTAGTGTTTGAAAAGTCCCAAGATTGGCATAAAGTTCTGTAACATTTAGTACACATATGTGCATCGTTATCCCATAGAAGTCTTCATTAATTGACCGAACTAGGCTGACGTGGTGTTAGATATTCCATTTTGTATGAAATTATGATTTGATTTTAAAATTTGTATTAAAAATATTGAGTGAGAGATGTTTATGAAATTTATTTCATGTTACTATGGCATGTTCAGGGCTCTAAACTGAGCAACATTTAGATATTTCCTGTAATCTTCTAAATTTGTAAAACATTTCCACACAGAAGACTGGCAGCAGCGTTCTGCCAGTCCTTAGGGATTTAAGCAACAACATAACACAAACAGATGCTAAAAGAGAGGCTTTTGAATTGGAAGGAGGTTCGTTATGTAGTCAGTTAAGACTGATTTAACTAACTTTTGAAAGGGGGATTTTAGTTTTAGAAGAGTAATGTGCTAGCATACCACCTTTATATGAGGAAATGTTTGCTCAAGAGTGTTGATCACTTTCTAGGTCAATGATGGGGAACTCTGTAGAGACACAAGTCCCCCAACTGCAACCCAAAGTCCACTTACCTACTGACACTGACACTGTAATTAAACCTGAATTCTGACTTTAGTTTAGAAAAAGCAACTTTTGTCTTAAAAATAAATGACATGTGCCAGCATTGCTCTGGGTTTGATCCATGTTTTCAGAATCTCTACTTCTGCACCCCAATAGCTTGTGCTGTGGTATTAATTCTTTTGTTCTTGGCAGGCTGAATCAGGAAGCATCAAATTTGATAAAAGTAATAAAATGAAAACTGACTTAAATTTGGAAAGTAGATTTGCAGAGAGTACAAGCTGCTAGTATTATAGATCATGCCATTTTTTGGGAAACTTGTTAAATTTTTATCAAATTATTAAGTGAAAAGCACTTAAGAGGACCTGTCCCCACCTTACTGGAAACCATTGTCGTTACCCTGGTGCTGACCCCACCCGCCTGCTTGCTGTGCAGCATGAGCATTTTCTTGTCACGTTCTGGGTTCTGTGCCTCGCCTTTTTGAGGTGCTGTTTGAAGGTGTGACTTTCTTCTTGTTCTTCCTTTGTGACTTTCAGTGCCTTTTTGTTTAACATTTTCACTTATGACAGTAAAGGAAAGGTAATAGAAATGTTGGCTGGTCCGTGATAAAGCACGCTAGCTTCCCTGGCTGGGCCAGCGGGACATGTGAGTGGATTGGGGAGCTGAGAGAGGCCACGGACTCACGCTGTCCCTGGCTTGGATGCTTGGCTGCACAATGGTGTAGTTTATGGTCTCTGAAAATCCACTGCACAGTCAGGGTTGGTAATGAAGTCTTTCACAGTGTTTGAAACCATCTAGGTCCAGATTCAAAAGGAGATTCAGGATCGTTACGAATGAAGACTTTACTAAACATTTTACTGCTTGTTCGATTCTTGGTCCTCTGTAAATATTTTTTTTATGGATTCAGTACTTCCTAAAACTGAGATGTATTTGTTTTTAGTCTTGGTTTACAAATGAGATGGGACTTTGAGGAAGTCAGTGAATCCCAGAATCAGGTTGATAATGTCGACCCCAGGACAGACTTTGACAGGTGCTTCTGCCTGGAGCTCAGGCTCTTCATGTTTTTATGTCTCATATATATACCTTACATGTAATCAGATGACAAAAAATTCTACATAAATATTTTTCAGTGTTTTTCCTTTCCTTTTGAGAGTCAAATGAATAGGCATTCAAAACAGCTCTTAGAGTACTAAGGAAAAATTAAATTTTTAATTTAATTTTAAGGAAGCCATTATTTGTGTGTAAACATCGGAAAAGACAGGCACCACCTGGTGTGTGTGTGTGTGTGTGTGTGTGTGTGTGTGTGTGTGTGTGTGTACAGGATCAGTTTAGCGGCTTGTCCTCTGCCCTGTCCACAGTACATACTGCCATCTGCTGGAAGGAGCTTTTCTGCACCCTTTAGACAAAACTGGAAGTGTCAAATGACTTTTCCAGTAATTTTCTTGTTATTTTAAATCACATCATTCATTCGATTGATGTTTTAAAAATCTAAATAGAGGTGTTTTAAATTTTCTCTCAGTGAAATTGTTCTCTTGATCTTTTCAGGTTGTGAAATGTGGCTCAAAGCCTTTCATGTGAGCAGGTGCAAGGGTGCTAACATTCCACATCTGTTGACTGTGCTTCCATAACCTGCTTGCCAATATAGGAAGAGCAATTATGGTGACAGCTTTTCAGCCACAAGCAGAAGCTCAGAGAGCTCAGATAACTGCCCAGAGATGCTCGTCAGTGGCAGAGCTGGGACCAGAAACCAGTCTTTGGATGTCTGCCTCGCTGTGTGACCCCCAGTTCTTAGCACAGCGTGTGTGTCTCAGCATCAGAACACTGTGTCTCTCGCAGTGCAAGGCCAGACAAGACACAGGCAGCTGAGTTCCTAAGTGCACTTTGTAAGTGAATAATAGATAGGAACCAACTTTTGTAATCCTTGGAAAGTGATATATGATCCAAAGATTTGCAGATTCTAGACCCCTAGTACTGGTGATTCACTAGATTGAAAGAGTACTTTCTACTGTGTATGCAAAAATAATACTCACATGTGTTTGACAGACAGAGAGTTTATAGCTGATAGTGTCACATTCAGTGTTTTTTATAGTGAACTGAAATTCACCTATTTGACAATATGAATGATTTTAAGCTTTACTTCCTATAATTATATAGCATAAATCTAACTTCTCTTCTGTATGACTGCTATTAGTGTTCTTTCTGGACTTTTTTCTACTTCCTATACATTAATGCCCTTAAAACACCTCTTTTCTCAACCATAAAATTTCTGAGCAGTTGTCTGCCTCAGTCCTGATTCTCACTCCTGCCCTGTGAGACAGCGTTTCTCGAGTCCATCTGGTCACGACTCAGAGGTGGGGAGCTCACACGGGGGCTGGCTGGAGGGCTGGGCTCTTCCTCACGGTGTCTTGGCTCTCATCACTGCACCTGCCCTGCCACCCTTCTGTCACACAGCTCCTGGGCTCCTTGCTCTCTGCTTTTTCCTCAGCACCATTGTGTTTATTGAGTGACTCTCTTTCAATACATCATAGAAAAATGATCTCAGTACCTGGGTGCACTGTGTCCTGGCGTCGGGCAGCTCTGGTTTGAGCACAGAGCACATTGCTGGCTTTTCATGACTTGGCTTATCTCCCTTAGGAGTTAAACTGAGCCTTGTCTTTGCATGCTAACATGTTCACACATGTGCATTTGTGTGTGTTTGTAAATATATGTGGAGGCATGTACTTCCCCACAAAAAGACTTCACATGTTTTCCTTAAACTGCATTGCCATTTTTGGTATGTTCTCCCTCACCTTCGTCTCTCCTGTGTTTTCCTTCTCTGTGCCGAGTTTGCCTTCCCTCTGCTTCACAGTTCTAACTTCTGAAGATGCTCCTTGCCGCTGCACCAGATTCTTGAGATAGTTCACTGAGATTCCATGGGCTCTTTGGGGGACAGTGTGTGTGTCAGGTCAGAATCCTATGATTTGTGGATGTCTTTTTCAGTGTTCTGTCATTGTTCTCAAGTTGCATTTGTTTTTAAAGCTTAACTTTGTGGGATTATGCCTATCTTTTCTCTTCAGGTGTTAGATCTGCCATGTCTTCTATAAAGACAGGAGTTAGTTTTAGATTGCTCTCCTGGATACTGTGATGAGCACTGAAATCTTGTTCTCAGAACAGCTAAGGATTTTGTAACCTTGCTGGATAACCTTTCCTTTCTCAGTCCTGCTGCCATTTGCCAAACTGAGCATTTTAAATATATATCATTTTGCATTAGTATACTCAGAAGACACAATTATAGTCCACCTGCTTTAGTTCTAGTCCCTGTGATATTAGAGGAGGCCAGGTCACCTTTCGGAGTTTCAGTAATGAACAGTGTGTCACATCGAGGCTTTGCTGACGCGTGTCCCGGGGCTGCCACTCACTGGATAAACAGTGCGCTGTCTCCTTCCCGCCTCCACACAGCAGGGCGCCTACCTGGAGTGCTAGCAGACACTTGCCGCCCGTCCGCTCCGGTGCTGAGTGGGACGCAGGAGAGCTGCCTGTTGCTGCTGTAGTAGATCACCATCGCTTGTCACATGGAACAGCTGGCCTGGCTCACGCCCAGGCTCATGCTTCTGCAGCCACATGGACACCCTCCAGTCCATGCCTGCTGTCTTTCCCCTAGGGTGGCTCTAGCCTGGCACAGGTGGACCAAAAGTCCTCCGCCTCATAGTTCTGTGGGTGAATGTTACATACGTCACATCATGCATGTGCCAAACCTTTGTAGTACTACAGTGGTATGGTGAAGCCCCATTGAAACACATTTTCTGTGTTAATATTACTATGGAATTTACAAAATCAATAATTCACATGTTTAAGGATTACCTCAAAACTCAGGATAAATGACTTCACTTCAGAGTTCAACTTAAACTGAATCTGAAGGAATAAAAAAGTCATTTGACTTGAACACTGTGGCAATTTCCAGGATTGACCTCTATAATGTCGCGTAAGTCATGAAATCTTTTGTGAGGCCTTTCTGTCAGCACCTCTGTCTTTTGTTTTTAGGTCAATGAAATTTACCATGATGAGTCCCTTGGAGTACATATGAATGTGGTCCTGGTACGCATGATCATGCTGGGTTATGCAAAGGTAAAATGCCTTCCACTGTGGGGACTGGTTTGGTAGTGGAGTCCTGGTCCTGTGTCTCATGTCTCAGAACCCTGGTGACACTGAGTTCAGAAGAAAAACTGCCACCATTAGTAGAGTGCTCCAAATTTCAGCAGATAATAAAATGACTTTTATGATGCTGCCATTGACTTCACTCTAGGTAATTATCCTTAGTGTAGATAAACTGCATGAGTGAAAGTGAGTGTGTACCATTAAGAGGTAACAGCCTCCAGGAGGCTGCGGTGAAAGAATTGGGAGTCCATAACTATAAGATTGGCAATACCCAGCCTCAAAAAATAAAAAGATAATAAAAAGAGGCCTGGAGATGTAGTTCAGTGCAAGAGGCAGTCCCCAGTACAGCAACCCCAGGGGAAGACGAGCCAGGATTACCAAGTTTGTGATTTATAGATTCATCCAAAGCATCTATGCTGATGAGTGCCTGTTATGTGATATGCTCTTCCTAGGTACTTGGACTATGTTACTGAAGAAAAAGATGAGATCTTTGTCATCTCTCAACTTGTTAAAAAGACGATGTTACATATATATTTTCATATGTAAAAGTCAAACAAGTCATTTGTAGGAAACTTTAGACCATAATATTTAGTGAAATCCATCAGACACATCTCTCTTCCAGGAGAAACATGAAGTATAAATAAAGAGCAAAATAAAAGACACTTGGAAGTAGAGAGATGGGTGGTTATCCAAAGGGAAGGGATGGAGAGATGGAGGAGGGGACAGGCATGGAGGTGTGTTGTGTGCAGCTCCCTCCTCCCCGCAAGGAAGGTAAATGCTAGGCACTACCAATGTGTGCTGACAAAAAATAAGAAAATAAAAATAAAATGGTATTTCCCATTTTAAAGAACTTCAGTACTTTTTTTGAAAACAAAATCTTGGTTCTCAGAACACATGCACATTAGGTATTTCATGTAATATAGTAGATTTTAACCAATTTTAAAATGATAGAAGTTCTGGTTCTGTCCTTGGAAACAATGAAATGGATGAAAGCATCTCTCTTTGAGGGGAAACATAGAGGAAGAACGACTTGGCAACGTTCTTAATGTTTAAGTTGCACGTCCTTCTCCCATGATTAATCCTTCTGATTTTGAAGTCCTAGTGAATTGGTGACTTTAGGAAATAGGAAAAACCCATGTGATTGCATTTCATTATGTATTTAACATTCAGTTATCTTTGTCTAATGACAGGGAGTCCTTGATCTTTAGTTTCTCCCATAAACCTGACCTACTTTGGGTCGTTACCAAGGAACAGATGTTATTTCCAGCTGGTTATGTTTACAGCCTTCTGTAGGTTGTTAAATCACTTGTTTGGAGAAATATGTGACCAACATATAACAAATCAGTCTAATTTATTAAGAATGTAAACACTGATGTTACATTTGCCGAAACTTAATGAAATTCTCAGCCTGTCAGCCAAGTCAGGGCTCATTTTGGGGTCTGAATTCAGTTTCTCATTCTGTCAGAACACTCTAGGCCTCTACCTCTGAACTTTGAACTGCAGAGTGTAACATGGTGACATTCCCAGGAAACTATGCTGTCTGTTGGAACTATGAGATAAAAGTCTGTCCCTTTCCCTTTCATGGGGGTGAAAAACAGTTTTTTATTTTTTTTTTTTCCAGCATGAAGTTAATACAAATCTGACTGTTCCTCATAAACTAAAATTTGACTAGCTTTGCCAGTTATGGAAGAAATTTCTGTTCTGTCCACATTTTGATTATTTTTGGACCAAAATATATACAAAACTCTTTAGCAAAAATCTTTTACTTTTATATCTCTGAAATAAAGTCTCATGAGAATCTTTCCCTCTGCTTTTGTTCTTAACATCTATAAAGTTTAAAATCTAAGCAGAATCAAGCCATATTTTAGACTTCCAAAATTCTTATCTAAATGATTTTTGATGAGTTGCTGCACAATAGCAAATCTTGGCATGCAACTTGCTCAGCAACTGTACCTGTTGACTGTCTCACAAGAAGTATTAAATATCATGCAGATATCCTCATGTGTATTTCAAATTCCCAAATCACAGTAGGTATCTAATGCCCCAAATAATATTAAATCATATATTGAACATATTATGACTTAGATTTCTGTCCACAAAAAGTTACTAAATGAAGCCTTTGGGAAAATGTTAGTGTGTCTTTAACATATTCTTTCCTCTCAGTCCATCAGCCTCATAGAAAGGGGAAACCCATCCAGGAGCTTGGAGAATGTGTGTCGCTGGGCTTGCCAACAGCAAAAATCTGATCCCAACCACTCTGAGCACCATGATCATGCAATTTTCTTAACCAGACAAGACTTCGGACCTGCTGGAATGCAAGGTATTAGCATTCATATGTAGAAGAAACATTTAATAGGCTTGGCTTTTCAAAAGCAATCCTAATTCAAGCAGTCTGTTTAAGTGTTTAGATCTTGACCACCACTTTCCCCCCCTCCCTAACCAAACATATATTTTCTTTCTGTTGTTTCCAGTAACTTCTGTGGAATTCATAACGTTAAATGCTGCTTAATACTATAATGAATTATACTTGCTTTTACAATAGTGGTTGTGCATTTTGGGTCTGAAGAGGATGAGATAAAAAGGCCCTGTGATTTCCACTGTCTGGAGGGAGAAAAGTCATGCCTTGAAGAATGACTGCTGCTGAACAGTTTTCTTCCATTTATCTAATAAATTCTGATGTGGACATTGGAAAAGCAGACCGATGGTTTCCTTTTCCACATTGGTGGGATTTTTGGCTCTCTTCACTAGTACCATAGTATCAAGGCCCATTTACTGAGACAGAAAGGCAGGGCTTAGCTGGGGATGGAACAGAATGGTAGTCCCAGGCAGTTCCTTCCTTCAGGAAAGGAGAAAATGCAGAACCAGTGAGTCTTTTCAGATCTGATTACCTGTGGCTTTCCCAAGAGAATGTGGCATAAGGCTAGTCAGGAAATAATGCTGCCCCTGTTTGCTGAAAGCTTGCTTTTTATTTTCTCCTACGCAAAGGTCCAGTAGTAATTCTTAATGAGTTTTCTCACGAACTGAAAATAAAAGTAACTGTTATTCTCTACAGGATACGCTCCAGTTACGGGCATGTGTCACCCGGTGAGGAGCTGTACCCTGAATCATGAGGATGGCTTTTCATCTGCCTTTGTAGTTGCCCATGAAACTGGCCATGTGTAAGTCACTGTTGACAGCTATAAAGGAAAAGAAGGTCTTTTCTCCTCTTTGCCCAGTACTGTTCACACTTGGGGCACAATACGTGCCAGCATGGGGTTCTCATCCCTTGCCAACTGCGAGGAGCTGAAAGTCAGTGAATGAGTGGCTGTCCTGTGCCCCATGCTTTGCAGAGCTCCAGAATGAGAGAGGTATGGCTGTCAGATTGCTTTCTCCTCCAGCCCCTGGAGCTGCTCCGAGAGAGCGCCACTGACTTAAAAACCGCATCCTGGCCAGCACTTGCTGTCGAAATAAATAGAAATGAGGCAGAGGCTGCAACTCACAGCTATGCGGTCTCCATGCTTTGTGTTGCAGGCTGGGGATGGAGCATGACGGGCAGGGCAACCGGTGTGGTGACGAGACTGCCATGGGCAGCGTCATGGCACCTTTGGTGCAGGCCGCTTTCCACCGCTACCACTGGTCCCGCTGCAGCGGTCAGGAGCTGCGCAGATACATCCAGTAGGTACCGCCGCATGCCAGGGCCTGGGGGGCAGCCCGGGCAAGAAACTGATCCCCAGGCCTCTGGCCATCACAGAATTCCCAGTCGGCGAACGCGGTCTTTGATAATAAACATCTTCACAGGATGGCGTGATTCAGAGAGAATAATTCTATAATGGAATTAGAGTTTACGCCAGAGTCTGGAGCTTGAGCCCAGTGCTAAGTGAGATGTGATTCCCCTTCAGTAACCTCTTCATGGAATCTGGGGCTCAGGGGGAGGGAGCTGGTGTGAGTCCTGAGTGCTGCCCCCGACAACCTCCCCGTCCACTCCACCCCCGCGAGGTCGTCCTTTCACTCCTGTGGGGTTCAGTTAGTGAGACAAGCCAGCTCTTTCCTGTGTTCTGCTCAGTGTAGTTTTTAGAATGGGCAAAGATGAACCATCTTTTTCTAAATTGAACTAAAATCGAAAAACTTTAAACTTATGCTTTTGGTCTTAATTTTAAGAATTTACTACAATAAAACACACATTGCTATTAATGCCCTTTAAAATGTTCCTGGTCATTCTGCTTTAATTAGTACATGCTTGTAGTAAGTACACAGCGATTCCATTCGCCATGGGGAGTCCATACGTTCAGCTCTCTCTCTTGTTTTGGCCCCTATTTCTGCCTTCCATCCCCACTCTTCCCAATGCTTGGTCTCTTTCCCATTTGCAAAAGGTCTATTTTCAGTTTTTTGTCCTTCAATTCTTTTTTTTGTCATCCTCTTTCCTCCTTTCCCTTTTGTGAATTTTCTCTATGATCTGATGATATTCTAGAGTATATAAGCTGAGTTACTTATTGTTAAGATACAGTTTTTAAAAATGAGTATTTAATTAAAAGTAATCTTTTCCTCCCTACAGTTCTTATGATTGTCTGCTTGATGACCCATTTGAACATGATTGGCCCAAACTCCCAGAACTTCCTGGAATAAATTATTCTATGGATGAGCAATGTCGTTTTGATTTTGGTGTTGGTTACAAAATGTGCACTGCGGTAAGTTAGCCATAGTCAATTTAAATTTTTCGTCTTGAAATCTATTTGTGAGCTTTACACACTCCAGTGCAAGTATAAGAATATCTACCAGCTATCCTGTGTTTGCTCTGTATTTAAATGCAAAATTCAGATGTTTTAAATATACTACCTTGTTTAATACTTATGATATACTAGAAGGAAGGCAATAAATCTTTATCAAACAGAAGAAAAAGGCAAGATTTAGGATCAACAACTCACTCAAGTCACACTTTTGCTAGAAAGGGGAGTTCAGCTTTGAACTAGGCTGTCCTGTTCCAAATCTTTAATGTAGTTCTTCCTCCGATGTTTCGAAGATGACTTTTAAGAGTTAGATGCTTTGTTTTCCTTTGGCTCCAGGGCCAGGGTTCTGCATATTTGTGTCCATAGCAAGGGGTATGCCGGTGTCTTACGTGGAAAGCAGCTGAGTAGTGTGCGTATCAGCAGGGTGCGCTTGTGCTTGGCTGTGTCCCCAGCATCTGGGAGGCAAAGCTAGGAAGGCAATTTTGTGACATAACCAGACTCTGTCTCACAAATAAAAATAAATACATGAATAAACACAGTAAAGAAGGATGGGCAGGTGGCTCAATGCAAAGGCCAGAGATAGGGGTCACATAGTCTGAGTGGATCAAGTCCCAACATTAATTAAACATGTGGCCTTAGACACCTTATTTAATCTATCTTACTCATGCATAAAACAATAATATTTATCTTGAAGGTTGGCATGAGGATTGGATGTGGTAATACAATTAAAATGGTTAGGATAGTGCAGGCACATCATAAATGCTTCATGGAGTTCATTAAATCTAGTGTTCCGTGGAAGGACCCAGATCAGAGTTCTGTGCTCTTACATTTCCATGCCAATCCTTGGTAGGTTTAGAAAACACAAACAAAGGGTTTTTATATGGTTAAGTACTTTCTGGTGTTACTTCCAGAAAAAAAAAAAAAACAATATTTATGGCTATTGATGAAGAATTAATCTGCTGTTTGGAATCTTCCTTATAGAGTCAGTTGATCTGTCTGTAAGGTTGATCCGTCTGAAGGTGAGCTCCTAATTATCTGATTTGGGCTTTCAGAAGTGAGAATTCTGAAGCTTTGTGTTAATGTCATTGAAAAGCACAAGTTTTAGAGCAACAACAAAAAATGCTGGTCTGAAAAGGCACTAATAAATTATATCTGTGAACACAAGGCTATGTATGAGTTAGATAGCATATTAGAATTATAGGTAATAAATATGTGGATATACTATGTTTGCTTATTTTTTAAAAGGTTTTTGAAACCCAATCTTATGTAGTCTAGGCTATCCTTGAACTTGTTATAGTTCCCCTGCCTCAGTCTCCCAAGTGCAAGAATTACAGGCCTAACCCTAACCCTAACCCTAACCACATCTGGTGTGTTTCCTGTTTTTAAGAACTCTGCCTAAAGAATGGTAAGATGTTTACACTTAGAAAGAAAATCAGCAGGTAAAGAGTATATACAAATGTGTTTGCTCACATAAATATATGGATATTAAATACAGTGTTTTAGGAAAATAAAAACCATTCTGAAGAGTGAGAAAACCCAAGTTCTATCATATAGTTCTGGCAGAACGTTATTACTGAGTGTGAGCTTAACTTGTGGTCTCTATTCCTCAGGAGTTGGTGTGAAGATCAGGTATCTGGGAAGCACTCTGTAAGCTGTATGAATGCATCATGACATTTTGTTGCATTGGTTCAACTCATGTTACATAAAATCTGACAAATATTTTCTATGTTTAATCAATGGATTATTAGAATTTTTGTTATTTATGTCGAACTAGTTTATACCTACAAGAATAAAGAGAAGCCATTCTGATAGCTTGAGAGTGTCAAACCATTATAATAAGATTTCAGTATTTCGACTACATAATAATGCTAACATATTTTAAAATTCCAGTATTATGTACTTGAAAGCCATAAGGTACAAATGACATGGACAGAAACATTAAAAGTCGAACAGAAAAAACCCAGACTTATCATTGCTTATTGTTGCTCTGTTACAAAATCAGAATATGTGCATTCTGCCTGGACTTTTGTTCGTTTGTTTTGAGACACGGCTTGCCATGTATTTTAGACTGGTCTGACCCTCCTGCCTCTGCTTCCACAGTGCTGGGATGACAGGCGTGCACCACTCGGTTAACTTGGAACTTTGCATAGTATTATTTTCTTCATGCATCATAACTGTGCCCGGAGCTTGAACTGAGAATGTACACAGCACATGCAGAAGCTGTGTGGAGCATGTGGCTAGCGCCCATCTGCATCATTCACAGCGTCTGTTCTCTCTTCTAGTTCCGAACGTTTGACCCGTGCAAGCAGCTATGGTGCAGTCACCCAGACAACCCCTACTTCTGCAAGACTAAAAAGGGGCCCCCGCTGGACGGCACCGAGTGTGCAGCCGGGAAGGTGAGTGTGCATGTGCGCATCCAGACTGAGCTGCCTTGCAGGTGGCTCCTCGAGTTTATGGAGGAGCTGCGCAGGCTCCAGCGCAAAGCACAGCCCCGAAGAGGCTCAGTAAGCTGGCGTGGGTTGATGTTGTGTGGCAGCTGCTGCAAACTGCCAAGACTTGTGTTGCTTAAAGCACCAGGAGATTATGCTCGTTGTTTTAGAGACCAGAAATTCAAAGATAGTGTCACTGAGCTACCATCTGCGGGAGACAGGGCCACTCTCCTCTGCACCTGGCCACCTGCGCAGTGCCCGTCCTCCAGCAGCCACACTGCCCTCGCGCTCTGACCCTTGTTGCCCATCCTGCCTTCACCTTCCCACCTTCCTTTCCTGGCCTGCACTGGCCCCTGTGGACCGGTCACATTCACCTCGTCCGGACCCTGCTTTCTCTCGGATGAGGACAAGGGTGGTGGCAGTTTGGGTCCACCTGGGTAATCCAGAGTGAGAACCCAGATTTGAGGTCATTAGTTTAATCACATTTGCAAAGACCTTTTTCCAAAGAAAGCCAGGTTTATAAGTAGGTTAGAATCTGTCGCCCTTGGGACCACCATTCAGCCCACTACAGTGGGAAAACTCAGGTCAGCAGAATTGCTGTCCTCTGCCAGGGTTTTGGTTTACTCTCAGGACCCCACTCAGGAAAAACTGCCAGGATTCTGTGAGCATGCCCTGCAGAGGCCATCTCTCTCCTCGGAGCTCTCAGTCTCCGATCTTGGAGTCTGGACTGGTGCTCAGACTGGAGGATAGCCAGGCCGTGCTACTCAAGGGCCACGGCCCAAACAAAGTCCTGTTGAGTGCTCAAGTCTGAGAAGCCTTGATGAATTTAGAAATAAGATATCTTAGGGAGTACAGAAAGCCAGCAAAGATTAATATAGCTCTTAATTGTTTTAAGGGTCAATTTAAAATGTATAAATTTACTTGTGATGAAAATTGAACATAATAAGACCAATAATTGCAAGTACATGTGTCCAACTCTGTGCTAACTGTGTGATACATAATTCTTCTCTTTGGGAAGATTTAGTAACAGAAAATATTAACTAGGTTGTAGAGGAATAATGAAATAATAGGTTCTTGTTTTAATAAAGAACAGTACTCTGGTAAGGTCTCAACATCCAGCTCCCTTGAATATAATAGTGTTATATTTAATTATACAAAAGTCAAGTTTAAAAAAAATTATTTTATTGTACGTAGTATGACTAAATAAGTAAAAATGTTAGGAAAATAACTGGTATCTTAAAGCATCTGCTATATGCAGAGCAGCTTGATAAGGTGCTTGTCCTGTCAGGGGGCCAGAAGCCCCTTACCTCCTCCCTGTCAGGTGGTACCCACTACTGTAGACCCTTCTTGGCCTTAATTTTCCTCATCTAAAAGATAAGATCATTATCTGACCCATTAGGATCACTGTGAATTAAATTATGTAAGGTAATAAGAGTACTTTGAAATCTGAATGTGGTTTGAGTACTTCTGTTGGGTATTCTCTGAGTTGAAGCAGACATTCTGTTGTGCATCATTGTAAAGGGGCGTCTGTGACTAGCAGACACCCCTCAGCTGGGACAGGTAGCGGGGTGAAGGTAGAGCAGAGCTGAGCACACACATAATTCCAGGTTTGATGTCTGTTGCTGATGACTGTATCCCTTAAAAACTTGTCTGTTATGTTTTATTTTAATTTTATAATAAAAGCACAAGTTTAAGTTCCCCTTCCTTTAGGATGTCTTAAGGATATAATTACTTCTGGGCATTTCAGAAAAAAAGAAGCAAAAGAAAAAAGTGAAGACTTAACGTAGGTGGTTCTTATATAACAACTGCAGCTTCAGTGTCCGTGATTTTCGTAATGACCTTTGTCGCTGTCCTCAGTGGTGCTACAAAGGACACTGCATGTGGAAGAACGCCAATCAGCAGCAGCAAGATGGCAACTGGGGCTCCTGGACTAAGTTTGGCTCCTGCTCCCGGACATGTGGAACTGGTGTCCGCTTCAGGACTCGCCAGTGCAACAACCCGACGTGAGTGGAATCTCTGCAGCTCTTGTGGGTTTGGTAGACTGGAAGAGACTTCCTTTCACCTCATTGGTATTCTAAGCGCACTTGACATATAGGACACAGAAAAGATGTTCAGAGTTCATGAACCAGGGTGATGTTTTGATAAGTCACATATGTATCTTGTGAAGACTGCAGTAATGAAGACAAGAACCTTGCAAGATGAAAGATTTTCTGGAGGAAACGCTTTCTCCAAGGCCCCAGGGAAGGCAGATCGCAGCACCCTCAGTGCAGGCCTGGGGAACATTTCAGGCCTGCCCGCTGCATTCCATGCCCTGCAAGCAGAGTCGCTGCAGGGCGCAGTGAGAGTGGTGACAAGTGACCTAGAGCTAAGGGGCTTCATGCCCACTTTTCTTCACCCCATAGTTCCTGCTTAGACTGGCATCAATCAGGCCCTGTCATATACTCCACAAACTTTTCTGATGTAGAAAAATAATGAAGCTGTTAAATGTAGGTTAGTCTTCCCAGCCCGTGGTTTAATGTGGGCAGCCCTCTCTCTGTGCACCAGGGTGTCCGGGTATGTCTTCAGTGGAGGCCATGGGTACCACATACCCGTTTTTACAGAAGAGGACGAGGGCAGTGTGGAGAAGGTAACAGGTGTTCAGGAGGAAAGCGCAACTTCTGCTACCTGCCAGGCTTTATCACCAGTACCTAAAGTATACGTGTCATCAGTGTCCTGCTAAGGAACTGAGTCTTACTATTTGCATTCTACATAGGAGGAACAGAGTTAAGAGCTGCAGTCACTTTTCTGAGTTACATCTTTGAGTTTTATGCTCAAGAGAGCTATATACTTTTTATTTCCTTACACTGGAAAGGCTGATTCAGGTCGTCTGCCTGCTCAAGAAGAGCGGGGCACCTGCAGGCAGGGACCAGAGGAGGCAGAAGCGCTGGGTCCCTGGGGCAGTCCCCTGGTGCGAGCCCAGGACCGCCCGTGTAGTGGCTGTGCTTCGGTGGCCACCCAGCAGTTTCTGCAGTGCTGTCTCCCCTGCAGGCCCATCAACGGCGGTCAGGACTGCCCCGGCGTCAACTTTGAGTACCAGCTTTGTAACACGGAGGAGTGCCAGAAGCACTTCGAGGACTTCCGAGCACAGCAATGCCAGCAGCGGAACTCGCACTTTGAGTTTCAGAACACCAAGCACCACTGGCTGCCCCATGAGCACCCCGACCGTGAGTACCCCGTCTCTCCTGCCAGCACCAAGGGAACTTTGGGGAGCACGGTGCTCGCCTCTTAGAGGCAGGGACTGTGCCTGGATGTTCCTGCCAAACAGCATACCCACCCTCACCCAGGAAATCCCCACTGGGAAGTGACACCTGCCAGATGCAGGATTTCCTGACTCAGCTGAAATTGCTCTGTAGGAAACACTTCTGGTTAAGTGTAATCGTTTCTTTTGGAATAACTAGAGAGAAATACAGTTCTTGTACAGCTGGATCAGAACCAGGAAAAAGACCATTAAAGGCACTTGCTAATCTTTTACTTTTGTATTGCAGACTAGTTGTTGAAAAATATATTCAAAGCTTGGCAGGGTGGCATACATCTATAATCCTAGCTCTCAGAAGGCTGAGGTAGGAGGATCGCCATGTATTCGAGGCCAGCCTGGACTACATAGTGAGTTCAAGGCCAGCCCAAACTACATAGTGAGACTGTCTCAAAACCAAAACCAAACAGAACAAAAAAACCAAACAAACAAAAATCAGTAAATTACCTATTAATGTTTTACTTCGTTTCCTTGAATTCTTGGTAAAATATGTCCAAATAATAACCTCTTGCAGTATTTCTTAGGAGAAAAAAAAAGTTACTTAATTGTCATTGATCTAATACATTATCGATTCAGTTTAAAGCTTTTTTAAAGCAAAGGTGAATACATGCAGGAATTCAGTGTACATTCAGAAGAAATGCATTATTTTGGGGAAATGAGTCATATAAATTAATGAGATCCTCTGAGAGGTGCAAACTGTTTGGTGTTGGACCAAAGATGGTTCCGTCACCTCTCTGAGCATTACTAAAATCAAGCTAGTAAAAAAATGAAATCAAATCAAGCTTGGTTTGGAATTTGCTTCTGAAAGCTGTGGTGGAGCTGAGTTGTGCCATCGGTGGATCAATGTGTCCCAGGAGACTGGGGATCCCTGCTGGTACAGGGTCCCAGATTGCGGTTGCCTGCACCGAGCCAGGAGTGGGTGGGGAGGAGCAGTCGGGAGAAACAGTCCAGGCTCCCAGCACCCTGACTCCCTGCGCCTCTTCCTCTGTGCAGTCTTTACCGTGTTCTCTTGCTGTTCAGAGCCCATGTTCAAACTCTGTATTTTACAGTTGAGCTGGGCCATGCTGTGGGAACATCCCATTTTGCATAGGTAGTTACTTTCCTCCTGCTGTCCTGCAGCCAGGAAACGATGCCACCTGTACTGCCAGTCACGGGAGACGGGGGCCACAGTGTCCATGCGGCAGCTGGTGCATGATGGCACGCGATGCTCCTACCGGGACCCACACGGCGTGTGCGTGCGTGGCGAGTGCGTGGTGAGTGCCCTGCGGCCCAGCCCTGCAGCCCGAGTCAGGGTCGTATGTTTTACACAAGTTGTGTGGATGGAAGCAGTTGGGTCCCTCAGACTCCTGAGTTGAGTAGGTTGTCAGCTGCATGCCCTGGTCGCCACCACCACCACAGAGAATATGTGTGCGCAAACACCTGGTGCCAGGGCCTGCAAGTAAAATATGGGATCTTAAAAAACCCAGTGTTGAGAGTATTTTGTCTTTTGCTTAAAGGATAGCTCAGGTCTCTTTCTGCTCTCTCGCTTTCTAAATTGATTCTAAGGTTAAATGTTGTTTTCCACATCAAAACAAAAATTCTGGAGAGGTGAAACAACTTTGACCCATTTAATATTTTGTAAAAATAATGCAGCTTATTTCTTGTTGATGTTCAAAGTTCAGTTCGTATGAAATTATCCTTATCAGCTGAAACACAGTAACTCCTAGTGGCTGTTTCTTACCACCTCAGCATCTGTTGAAGTCAGCAGCCCCTCAGCATCTTACCTGGACCTGGGTCGCTCAGCTAGGTGCCTGGTGCATTTACAGAGCAGACGTGGATGTGACAGGTGCTGAGGCCCAGACAGCGCTGAGCAGTGCGTGCCCGCACAGCTCCTGCCATGTCGTGGGCAGAGGGGATGGACAGGCGAGCGAGGGAGCAGGGACCAGGGGCTTTGCTTGTGCTGTGAGCTGCTTCTCCAGAACAATGTCCATTCATCCCAGAGGCTGCGGTCTCAGGGTCTTGACATACCTGCTTAGCTCCAGCCATCGGCACTGTCCCACTGGAGGATGAGTTCCCAGTACAAGCCTTGAGAAGGGCCGTACAGACCCCAACAGGAGGGAGTCTGTCCCATTTGTCATTTTCCTGGCAGCCTACCTGGTGCATGAAATATACTTGCCATTGTGACTTGCCTTGTCGGTACCATGCCAGCCTTTTAAATGCAGTGCTGTTGAGTGTGGTAGCTTTATTCCACACTGGATTACTTCAGGGACCTGCCCCAGTCCTGAAAACCATTAGTGGTTCTGTCTGATCAGGGTAAAAATGCATTCTGGACCCGGTATGCCATGCCTTTCGCAGCCACTGCTGTGCTCAGCAGAACTTTGCCCTGCTGTGCAGGCCACCTCGCACTGACTTGAGGGCACCTTTCACTACCCTGACCCCTGGACACACAGTTCCCACTGCTCTGCCCTCTGCTTCTGAACTGATATCCACTCTGTGTTCCTGACGGAAATGTCCAGCACTTCCAGAAAGTTTTATCTCGTGTCCTCAGTGACTTTTACAGCCTGCAGGACTGTATGCAGTATATAACCATATAGTTACATATAGTTATATTGAATTAGTGTATGACTCACTATTTTTATTATCTTTATAAACATGAACACACAAGGGAAAAGCACCGTATTTTTTGGTTTTACTTTGATTTCCCAGTGTCAGCTCTATCTGTGCTCAGAAAATGTAAGTAGTATGATTGAGATAATTATCATGGGAGAAACATTGCTCAGACTGAAGAATTAGTCTTTTGTTGATAAGGATGAGACTGCAGCTCATCTGACTCCGTAGCAGTTCCTTAAAGCAGTTCTGACTGTTGTGAGAGTTGGTACAGACGCGCTAAGGGTGGCTGTTGTTGAATGAATGGTTCATTGTTCTCTGTATGATTTTCTGTGGCTGGCACATTAAGAAGTAGCCACATTTAACATCTTCTTTCCCCAGAAAGTGGGCTGTGATAAAGAAATCGGTTCCAACAAGGTTGAGGACAAATGCGGCGTCTGTGGAGGAGACAGTTCTCACTGTCGCACTGTGAAAGGGACGTTCACGAGGGCTCCCAGGAAGCCTGGTAAGAAGGGGCTCTCGCGTGACTTGCTTTTCCAGTGCTGGAGATCTGGAGACTGCAGCAGGGCAGCAGTTTCTCAAAAAACATGACAAAACCTAGCTGATAGGTTTTTAATTTAAATTGTCTCTTAGGGAACTATTTAAAAATTTTTGAATTCATACTCCATAGCATTTATGATGAGAAACTATTTACTAAATACAAAGTCAGTATCAGTTATTCAGCTTCAAATCACCTGTATCATTTTGAGTTAGCAACAAGATGTGTTATGTTGTATTTTACATTTTTAATAAAATGGAAACAGAACTGATGCCTACTATGAATGTCCATTGCACATAAGTTGTTAGCCAGGAGTTAAAAACCTGACAAATCATTAAGTAAATGTAACTTTTTAAAATTCATTGGTTTTACTTCTTTCATTTTAAAAAATGAACATTTTATATAGGTTGTAAATCAGTAAATCTAGGATCCATATTTCACATAACTTTAAAATTTTTATTTAAAAATAATATGAGCTCCAACCAAAAAATAATCTGAGATCTGACTGTTCATGTGGGAAGTTCTGTGCTTCCTACACTGCCTAAAACATGAGCTTAGATACACACTGGTGGTCCAAAAGAAGGAACTGAAAACTATCTTCATGTAACAAACCACATGTAAAATATTAGTAGTTTCAGAATACTCATTGAAATTTTCATTAAAGATTTGAATCTGAACATTTGTTATTAAATACTTTCCTGAGTTTGTACTAAATACTCATTTATTCAATAAGAATTTATTGGACAAATGCTCTGGGGATTAAGCATTTAAATATAAAATGGATATGGTCCTTCAAATTTTTCCTACTATATCTTCAGGTTTCAGTGAAATGAAATGTAATGTTCTCCATTTCACTGTGAAATAATGAACTTTTCTTTCTGTAGTGCAACTACATGGTATTCTTTTAAGTGTAAAATAATTAATTTGTTTTATTTCCAGAGTGAGGTAATTAAAGAAAAATGGTTTTGCCATGATCATTTGTTATATAGTATGAATAGTAAGGTAATGATACTTTCACATGTCTCAAAAATTATTTTAACCAGCAAATTAAGGTCAAAAGAACACGAGAAATTGTTCATTATTTATACAGATTCCACCTTTTCAAAGATAATCTAGCATCCATTTTCTGTGCATTAATGTCATTATAGTAATTCAATGACTAATTAACCTTTTCCAACAGGCAAACATTTAAGCAAGAGGTGCCATAAAGAATTCAAGTTACTGCAAAATGAACTCTGCAAGTATTCAGCTTCAAATACCTGTACCATTTTGAGTTCAACTTAGTCTTGGTTTCACTGACTATTTATAGTTTACTGGCATTATCTAACTGCTATCAATATATTTTTCTTTGACACATAAAATTACGGAACATATTTTACATAAACTAGTGAAATATATAAGGCTTATGGGACAGTCAGTGAAACACAAGACACCGATAAACATGAAACCTCCACTAATGAAAGACATTCTATTTAAGGGAAGACAAGAGGCGCGTTCACTTTACCTAGAGGAGCTCGTAATATTTCTCTTGTTGAAACAAGAGAAGCTAAAAATATACTGGGTAAGTTGTAGAAAATGCAGAAAAATGGGCATCCATAAACGGCATCAAGCTGTTTTGCTGTGCTGCATTTTAAGCATGTGCCTTCTCGCCGTGACATATTCAGGCAAAAACAGCACCTTTCATGTGTTGGGGTTCACCTCAGGGTTTCATGTGTAGGATAGCCCGATCCTCCAACAGCCACTCCTTTTCCTAAGGACAGTGATAAACATGGTGAAAGGCTGGATAAATCTACCCATAGATGCAATTAATTGTAGACAATTTTTTTAAAAGTGTGTTTTTCCTACTTCCATTAATTTTGTATTGGCTACTGAATTTCTGTCAACACTCATCCTGCACTGTATAAAGTATGTGTTCCATAATGTCCTGAACATATGATAATCTTCATGTATTCATTTATTTTTGATGCAAACACGACATAACATCTGGTCTACTTGTTGACCTATAGTGAGGATCTTAATTCTAAGTCATTGTAAGATAATTTTTGGGACATATATTAAGAACTTTTCCTACATATAACATTGACAGTAATAGAAATGATATATAATTTTAAAACCCAGAGCAACCCATTTTTTAAAAAAATTTATCATTTTCAGCCTAGAAGACGGAGCTTAGGGGCGCGTGAGGCACTATGTGAGAGATGCCTGGCACAATCTTCAACCCAAATAGTTTGGTGAAATCTACAACATGAATTTTGAAATAGCTCCACATATAATCTGTTTAAAGCCTTTAAGATTCATTGCTAATCACAAGAAAACACCTACTCACCAGTTTTTGTTTTATAGTTTTTTAGAATAAAATAGGCTCTTATTCTGGAAGTAAAATACTTCTAGTAATTAACAGTTGAACTATTTGTAATTGTGAGGTGTACTTTTAAAACAATACATTGGGACAGGAAAAACATCTCCAGAAATTGAGCATTTAAGGGTTTTTACTGAACAATTTCCCCACTTTAAAAGGGTGATGTAGAAAACAAGTCATATGGAAGGACACAGGAAAGTGCAATATTTGCCTGAATTGCTGTTGACATGATTCACAGGTCAACACAAGATAAGTAGTTCCTAAGTTGGTTTCGAAATTAACTTTTTCTCTTGGTTAATTAAAATGAATTCTCCTGATCTCGCGGCTGTTGCCGTGCTCTGACCTTAACTTCTGAAACCGCTTCTTCGGTTTTATGGGTGCCCCTTCTGCAGCCGGGACCCAGGACGGGCTGCCTCACTAACCATCTGTTGCTGTGTCTCCTTTGCCTCCGCCCACGTTCGAACACATGCACAGGGTACCTTAAGATGTTCGATGTCCCCCCTGGGGCTAGACATGTGTTAATCCAAGAAGACGAGGCTTCTCCTCACATTCTTGGTAAGTGTTCTGTCTGCTGGCTCTGCTTTCATATGCACTTCAGCACCAAGAAGTCAAAGCACTCACACGCAGGTGTCTGTGTGTATGTGCCTCCGTATGTGCGAATGGGTGGACGCATGCAGGCAAAGAAGAATGATCATAGTGCTTAGCTGAATATTATGTGGGCTTTGTCATTTCTCCCAGCTATTTTTACTTTAAAACAAAAACTATCCAAAAACAAAATCTTAATTTTGGCAGACAGTCGTGACTGTTCGTAATGACAGGAGGGAAAAACAAGTTTGTATTTCTTATTATTTTTTGTCTGTATTAAGGGATGACAATAATACATTAATAAAATTAAGTGAATAATACCAGGAAAATTCATATTTATGTTGCAAATGGTTGGCTGATTGCATACTATATACCTCCACCTCCCCTTATTTTTACTGAACTTCACGTTCTCAGGGTGAAAAGCAGCAGTAGGTGGGTTTTGTTAGTCTTATGTTAGTTTCCTAATGCTGTATCTGAAAAGTGTCAGGTGGCTTTTGATTAGCACATGTATATCTATTTGCATGGTTGAATATAATTTCCAAAAGAAGACTCTTTCTTTATGAGAACATCATATAGAAATGTCAGTTTAATGGAATTTATGTGTAAATATAAACAACTTTTACATATTGAAGCACTAAGATTTTTGAAATTTAGGATTTATGTTGACTTAAAAATTGTTCTATAGTGTCTCATACAATTGTTTCTAAAAATTTTAAAAGTATACTCACTACTAGTTACTACTGCCACCTGACATTCATCCAGAGTCCTTTCTCTGATGCCCTAAATTCCTTACTTTTCATCCTAGAATTCAGATTATTACTCACGGACTAATTAGTTTAAAAGCTAAAGGAGAATAAATGTGTTTAACTAGAATTGGATGGAGTCCAGAGCCTTGTGCTAGGCAAGCTCTTTATCCCAGACTTCCATCCCCACCCTTTATAGACTTTCATATTTTCTACGCGGTCTCATTGATAGTGATCATTATGAAATGCATTCCACTTTATCCTTACATGCTGATATATACCTCCAAGATTTATATTCATTTATTATTTCTACCCACTGGAGTAGCATTCTATTTTATAATATATAGTAACAGTGATATGGTGAGAATTCTATCAACAGGAAGCAGGTTTTCCTGACTATAGAATTAGCCAATGTGACTTTAAAATTTTGCAACCATTAGAACAATGATTAGCTTGTAAATCTATTCAGATATTTTGAATGACTATAAATGTACTGACCAATTTAAAAAGGATGACACCACAAAGGAACTATTTTGTTATATTCTATTTAACGTAAACTGTGTGTATTGGTCACTGGAGAAATATCCATTATTATCACAATAGTTCTGACTTCTACAGAAATAGAGAGGATAAATGAATTAGAAACTATTCATCTCTTTGACAATGTTTTCAAATGAGAATATTTGCAAACATTTTTGCTTATTTAACTGTCTTGCCATGGTGTTGACTAGTTGGAAATGCTTTTTGAGAGTTTTTAATCCCTAATGAAAGGAATGGAAATAATAGTAGAACTAATACTCATTTTGGTTGCCTGATACTAATTGAGATAGTCCTTGATTTATGGAGGGGATGGACTTGCTATGAATCTTAAGTGTGGCATGATATATGCTTGGGTTATGCGTTTCCCTTCTGTAGCTATTAAGAACCAGGCCACAGGTCACTACATTTTAAATGGCAAAGGGGAGGAAGCCAAGTCGCGGACCTTCATAGATCTTGGTGTGGAGTGGGATTACAGCATCGAAGACGACATTGAGACCCTTCACACTGACGGACCCTTGCATGATCCTGTTACTGTTCTGGTACGTGGAATTAATTACAGGCTATTCTGAAGTCTGTTCAGCTTGTAATTTGACACTCAGTTTTTGTGAAAACACTTTTACCTTGGGCATTAGTATATTTAGTTGCTTTTTTTTTTTAATAAGTCTGTCTGTCTCCCCTCAACTCTTTACACAAAATTGTCATATATTACAATATATAAACTGAAAAAATACATCATGATTTTTTTATTTAAGTAACAAGTTGTGATTTAAGACAACAAAAATGGAAGTAAGTATTTATATTTACCATTTCCAATGATCGTCATCCTCCTTTGGAGATGTGACTTTCCACCTGGAATTTCCAGCACACACTGGCACCCTCTGCACCATTCCTAGACACTGCTTCTTCACATGTGGGGTGGCTGTACTGGAAAGAACTGTCTCAGCTTTCACTTATCAAAAAACTGGTTCACTCTCATTTTTGAAGACTGTCTTCAGTAGACACAAAATTTGGAGTTGTTAGGACCTTGAATTTTGTTTTTCGTTTAAGTACTTCCTGAAAGAGAGCGAGAGGTATTGGAAGGCTGGTCAGAAGGAGCAGTAAGGCAGCTCCTGCCTGGTTTGTATGAAGTTGTAGCTGGGTGGGCCCCGGGGAGAGAAGGCCCTGCGGCTCTGGAGGAAGGGATCTGACTGGGTTCTGTCCTGGGCAGCAGCAGCCTGTGACCTGATTCCCAAGGTCTCCTTTATACCTAGCAGATGTGTACAGGGCAGGCAGGCTTCAGATGACAGGAATTCTTGATTGGGCTCCGCTGAAAACAATCAGTTGTGTAAACATCTGTGTCTAGCTTTTGAGCTAACAGGTGCCGTGAAGGAATAACAGCCACCTGGCCAGTGCAGGGGGACACTCCACTCCATGGTGTGGTGCTATATGCTGGGTACACTGTGAGGGGACCTTCCACAGTGCTATTCTGAATTTAGTGTTTCATTTTCTCCAGTAGCTTTTTAGGGGATTTCTTCTTATCATTTCATTTTATTTAGCAGCTTGTTTATGAGATAGCAGTGGTGCTCTATCCATGTCCTGCTTGGGGTTCACTAAGAATCCTTTTTGTTTTCTTTTTTTGAGACCAGGTCTCATTCTGCAATTCAGGATGGCCTTAAGCTCACTATACAGCCCAGGCTGGCCCCACACGTGTTGTGACCCTCCTGCGGGTGTGTGCTACCACACCTGGTGGAGTGATTTCACTAGATCTGGTCAATACTCACCGTGTCTTCAAGGCTGCTGCTTCCCCCAAGGTCTCATTTCCATGAAACAACTTGTTCCTCCTCCAAACGAGGAAACTGTTCCGTAGTTCTCAGGCTCTGTTCATTCTTTTGTACTCTTTCAAAAGAATATTTTCAGATTGAATAATTTCTCTTAAACTCTTTTTTAAATTTGCTGGCTCTTACATCATCTCCGATACATCCTTGAGTCTGTCCCATACATTTTTGTTGTCTGACGTGCACTTTTCTGTTATTCTCTCTCTCTCTTCAGTAATTTCCCTTTCTTTGCTGGAATTTCCGTATGTTTGCTCATTATGTCTACTTTAACCTTGCTACCTTGTTCTTTCTGAATATGAATAACTCTGTCCTGCTTCCTACAGTTTCTTTTTACCTTGAATGGATACTATGGATACTAAACTGTGGTGGTTTCATTCCATAGACAGTTATGTTTTGTCCGATCCTCTTGGGCCTCTGAGCCTGATTTTATTCTTCACAAGGATTGCCCTGTTTCAGTTCTCTTCCTAAGCTTATGCTGTGGCCTCTTGGGGGTCACAACTGGATGCCACAGATGTCCCTGGGCCTCTCTTTCCTCAGAGAAGAGAGCTCGTTGCCCACGCTAAGCCACCTGCCTGCTGGCCTCCTCCACTCCTAGCCAGCGCTCACGGAGCAGCACTCCACGTCTGGCCCATGGTGCACAGTCTGGCCTCAGCTGAGGACCTTGCGGCTGGGGCCTGCACCTCACACAGGCCCTGCTCTTCCGGCCCCGCCCTGAAGATCCCGCATCTCACCTCTGTCTCTCGTGCTCAGAGGTCCTGCTGAAGTGGCGCCTCCTCTCCTGAAGCCTGGACCAGGTCCAGACCTGACCTGTGTCCTTCACTTGCTTTCCACTGCCCAAGTTCCCTCGTGTTCTTCTGGTTTACAGTTCTTCACATTGGGAAAATACCTCTGTTATTCTTTCATGGGGCAAGGCAGAAGACACCTTGATTTAAAATGTATTATTGGATTCCAGATACAACTATCAATTGGAATGCCCGTTACAAATTATACAAATCTAAAGCCAAAGTTTTCTACTCAACTTTTTGGCTTTGAAAATAATTTCATTCTGAAAGTCCTTTCAGACCCTTTGCCCATTGTTAAAGTTGTAATGTTTTTCTTTTTATTGAGTTTTAAGAGTCCTTTGTAATCATTAAGTCCCTCTGTGAAGTAGATAAGTTAAAAATATTTCCTTCTATGTATAGCTTATTGTTTTCTTCTTTTAGCTTGCTAAAGTCCAGTTAATATTTTCTTTTGTGGATTGAGATATTGATGTTTTGAAAGGATTTTTGTCTACTACAACATCAAAACATTTGTCCTGCTTGTTTTAGTAATCTTATAATTTAAGTCTATATATATATATGAACCAATTGGAGCTAATTCTGTGTAACGTGCTTTTGTGCCTTAATAAGTACTTGTTTGCAATAAGTAACGATTATGCCTGAGATTGGTGTTTACAGCACATTTCAGTTGCTTCTGTCTTCTTTCTACCCTCTTTCTAACTTTTCAGTATCAGATTCATTTATTTATCTGGTCTTGTAAGATAATTATCATGTGTATACATTGACAACAGATTATAGGCCTAAAAACATGTAAAGCATGTAAGACGGTTGTACTAAGTCAAAGTATACATTTAGATACATGGTCCACAGTGGATTCTAATAACTTTTTGTCTTTTTTTCTCTCTTATGTGTTTTATTCCTCATATGTGTATGTGTGTGCATGCGTGTGTGCATTTGTATTTTTTCATATAAGAGAAACCATTCAATATTTAAACTTGTATGTCACAATTACTTCACTTAATATCATGATCTCAAAATAAATCCAGTTTCTTATAAGTCTCTCAGGTTTCTCCTTTTTATTGTGGACTAGTATTCCATTGTAGATAAGTATCACTTTTTAAAATCACCTGTTAATGGAAATATGGATCGTTTCCGAGATTTAACTATTATGAATTGTGCTGTAATAAACATGGAATTATCGCAACTGATCGGTTGTACCCATGTCAGACTATGATGTGATATCTTTAATTACCTTGGAAGATACCTGGAAGGGTAATACATGGTTCAAATGAAACTTCTACTTTAGTTTTTTAATGGAATCTCTGTACTGACTTCCATAATGGCTGTATCAGTTCACAGTCCACCAGCAATGGAGAAGGCTTCCTTTTCCCCCTGCGGCCTCCCCAACATTTGTTAGTGACTGAGTTCCTAATGATGGCCATTCATTTCAAAGTGAAATGGTGTCTCAGTGTTGTTCCAGTTTCTGTTTCCCACCCTGCCAGTGATGCTGAACATTTTTTCATGTATTTATTTGCTGTTTGTACTTCTGCATCTGAGACATGTATATTCATTTTGGATGCCCATTTTTGGATTCGTTCTTTACATTAGGGGTGTCTTGGTTACTTTTCTCTCATTGCTGAGACAGAATACCTCACATTCAAAATGAAGGAAGGAAAGATTTATTTAGCTGACAGCATATGGAGGTTTTAGTACATAATTAGCTGACTCCAATGCAGGGTGCTATGGCACAGGACAGCACTTCAAGGCAGCAAAACCAGCATGAACATGAAAGAGGAAAGCAAGCCTCTTTTCCTCCTCACACTGTACGGAGATTACCCTCTGCCCCACGGTGGGTGCAGCCCTCGCACCATCTCCTACCCTCTTACCCAGGCTCAGAGTGTTTACAAAGGGAAGGCCTGGTCCCTTGTTGAGTCACTCAGTTAGACTTCTGAGCTTCCCAAGTTGACACAGTAAACAGCATCACAGAGAGGGAAGGGCCTGTCCTCTGCACCCTAGGATGTGAAATGCTGAGTTACTTAGTTAAGCTTCTAGACCTCTCAAGTTGACACAGCATATCAACCATAATGGGAGGAGACTTTTTTTGAATTCTTTATATATTCTAAATATTAGGTCTTTGTCTGAGGAACAGCTGGTAAAATATTTTTCCCGTCTGTAGTTTGGCTTCTCACTCCATTTAGTGGTTTCCTTTGCTGTGTAGAAATTTTTCAGTTTGTTGTGATCCCATTTATTGATTCTTGATACTGTTTCTTGTGCAACCAGGATTTTGTTCAGGAAGTCTTTGCTTACACCCGTGTCTTAAAGAGTTTTACCCATTTTGCCTTTCAGCAGATCAAGTGTTTCTGTTCTGATATTTAGATCTTTGATCCATTTTGATCTTACTTTAGTGCCCGGTGAGAGATACGAGTCTAAGTTCAACCTTCAGCTTGTACATAACCAGTTTTTTCAGGACCATTTGTTAATCAGGCACTTTCCTCCAGCAAGAGGATGTGGCCCTTTGTCAAAACTAGCACAGCCGAGTATGTCTGGAGTTGTTTCTGTCTCTTCTGTTCTGTCCCCCGAGGCACCGTCTGGTTTTGGGGTGTTTTCCCTCCGTCCAGTAGCACTGCTGTTCTACACCGTGGCTGTGTAGTATAACGTGAAGTCCAGGACTGTGATGGCTTCTGTCTTGCCCTCTTGCCCAGAATTGCTCTTGCTTATTCTAGGTCTCTTCTGGTTCCATACGACATTGTTTTCTCCAGTCCAGAAGGCATATTTTTGGTACTTTGAGACTGTTAAATCTATGTAACAGTTTCAGAAGTATTGCCATTTTTTACTATAAATTCTTTGTATCCAGGAACAGAACATCTTTCAGTTTTCTAAAATCCTCTTCAATTGCCTTTTTGAGTTCCCTAGTTTTTATTAGAGAAGTCTTTTTGCTTCCTTGATGAGATTGATTCTTTTATATTT